CATATCCCTGAAAGTATTCATGGTACAGTACAGTCCATACTCATGGAAAAAATTGGGGCTATTTGAAAAGGGGGTGTGAGGCCTATAAACGTACTGACTTTTAGCTATCTTTGAATGCATTTATAATTCCTCTGCAGGTGTGTTTGTGAATGAAATCCTCCTAAATGGTTGTACGGATTTTTACGAAATTTTTTGTGTGTGTTTGAGTGGGTCTCTGGATGGTTTAGATTCACAATTTAACCCGACAGTTGACGCTGTAGTTGAATTATTACTAAAAATCTTATTTTTGATCCGATTTGGCTAATGTATTAAATATGTATTGGTAATGGTAAGAGCAATACTAATGCAAAAACGTGCTGCCAAGTGGCGCTGAAGACGAGTTATTACTAAATAAATTAAAAAAAAAGAACTTTTTAATGTACCACGCTTTTATAAATGGACTAAAACTAGAAAATAATATTTCTCAGTCCCATAGAACTTGTTTTGATAACTTTTGATTTTGAAATTTTAGCAAAAGTCATTATAAACAATTTATGAGATTGAAAGCGAAAAACGTAGAGCGCATGCAATGCAAAGCATTAGATTTAATTGACGATATTCAAACTACATATATAACATAGACCTAAAATTTCTAAAGCGAAAGTACAAATTTGAGATCGATTTTAAGCGGTCGTTATTAATATACCCACATACATACATATATTACTCTTCAATTTCAAATCAGGCCTTTTACATGCGTCCCTCGCTTTTCATTTTCAATCTCATAAATTGTTTATAATGACTTTTGCTAAAATTTCAAAATTAAAAGTTATCAAAACAAGTTCTATGGGACTGAGTTATTTTCTAATTTTAGTCCATTTATAAAAGCGTGGTACATTAAAAATGTTTTTTAAATTTATTTTATACTCTGTAGTCTTGTCTGTATAAAATTTTGCAATAGATACTAAAATAATTCAACTTGCAGTGAAAAGAGAACAGATGAATATGCAAGCAAATGTTTGCTCACATTTAGTATATGCCTGCATATGTACATATAGCAGCAATTAATTTCATTTATAGAAATGGCGTGTCGTCCATTTCCGCTGTAGCGTATGTAGTGCATACTTTTAAATTCTTCTGGCGAGGCGACATCTATCTCTAGAGTTTTTCTAATTGTATGTATTTGATATGATACCTACGACGAGGTTGATATCTAGACTAGGTTTGCCATAAATACCTTTGCTATATTTATAGTGTGGTGGTCTGGACCAGGGTTGTTGCGAATACTCGCATTCGCATTCGCAACCGCGGAGCTTCCGCATTAATTTTAACATTCGCTTTTGCTTTCGCATTCGCTTTCGCATTCGCAATAATAAATTATTCCCAAGTAAAAGTCCTTTCCGGACAATAAACAAACCGCGTATCCAAATTAAACAAGTTTGGTATCAAATGAAAGAGGACTTAAATAGCTTTAAAACTGAAATGTCTAAACAAGCAAACTCACCTATTGAAAAATATTTCATTAAAAAATTATAATTAATTACCATAGAACAAACCTTGGGTCAGGTATATGAATTTCTTTAGTATTAAATGATATAAAAAAATATATATAAATAGAGGTGGTAACCTTCGTTCGTTATTTCTGTTTAAAAGCTATTTCAGTCCTCCCACATGATACCAAATTGGTTTAATTTTGATAAGCTGTTTGTTTATTATCCAGAAAAAAACTTTCGGAATAAAAAATATTAGGCCAAGTTTAACTGGTAAAAAAATAACTGTTTCGGTCCCTGGAATATTATGCAAGTGCAATGATAAAAGGTATATCTGCTCAGTCACAGAAGAAAGGACCAAAAATGAATTACAAAAACCAAAATCGAAAAACGAAAAACGCTGTTGACCTTACTGGTTCTCCACATTTAGAAACAACCAATAGAATGAAAATGAAGAATTCTTTGGAAAACAACGGTGTTTAATCAACGATCTTGCCATGATACTAGATTGTGAAGATGAAAGTCAGGAGGATACATAAGACATTTGCAGACCGATGCAATTCCCAAAAAAAAATTATTGCACCGCAATAAAAAAAAAAATAAATATAACTGAAAGTCCTCTCGACTGGTGCAGCGTCAATCGAAAACAATTTACAATTTTGTCAAGTTTAAAGTTTTTCAAGTTTTTCGCAGCGAGCGAGTAGTTATTTAGTGGTGGTTTGATTTACGACCCTTTAAAAACTTTTTATTGAATACAATGTTCCAATTTTTAAATTCAAGTACTAAAAAAAAAATTATTAAAAATTACTAACCTTTCCATTTTTTATTTAACTAAATCACCTAATGTACTCACCTAAATTATTTCTTAACAAGTAAAAAAGTCTAAGTTCGGGCGGAGCCGAACATTAAATACCCGGTGCAAGTATTCAATATAGTTTTTTCACCTTAAAACTACCGCTACATGGTAAGCAGTGGTGGTTTTACGTCTATTTCAAACATCTTCGATAGAACGTTCAGTTAGACATAATGAGTTAAACTTATATAGATATATGTGGGCCCATTTTCCAAAATTCCATAATGTTAATTCTTTTCAAAGGATTGTTGTTAGTATCAAATTTGGGTAAAATTAGCGTTATAAAAAGGTGGTCGTAATTTTAGTCAGATTTTACCGGTTACCGATATACACATATGGGGTTTTAAGTAGGCGGGGTCACGCCCATTTTCCAACATTTTATTATAAGCGTACTTTTTGTTAAAGAATTATTGCAAACATCAATTTTGAATAAATTAGCTGCAGTATTGATTACTGATTTATCGAAGTTTTCGTATTTCTCTAAATTACCGTTATGTGGGATGTGGGCGTGGTTATTATCAAATTTTTTAAATTTTCAGCCGTTTGGTATGTTTTGTGAAGGCCAACAACTTTGCCAAGTTTGGGAGAAATTGGTGGAGCGGTTCCCAAGATATACACCTACCTATGCCTACGCCCATTTCCAAAAATTGTTAATATTCTCATTTTTAATTTCATTTCAAAATAAGTACACATACCAAGTTTCTTTAAGATATCTCAATTTGTACTCGAGTTGTCGTGTGCACATACGGTTACTCTTTTCAATCTGATCATTTATGTATACATTTGTCTATATCTATCTCGATTCGTTTTGCCTGTTACAAACAGTGTTGCCAGAACTTTTTGGGCCGAGCGGCTAGATTGGCAAAAAAAGCGGCTAAAAACGGCTAAAATGTTTTAGTGAAATTTCACATAGACTCTGGCAAAAAACGGCTAAAATGTTTTAGTGAAAATTCACATGCTTTATTTAAATAAATCGCAAGAAACGAAAGACTAGTTAACACCAATTATTTATATCGAGTGTATATTCCTCATCATCAAATGAATCACTATTGTATATATCACCTGAATTCATAAATTTTAAGAGATCGTCATCTACAGTAAAATTATGGCAGCATTTTTCTTCACGTTTTAAACCGTATCTTATATATAAAATAGCGTTTAACGTTTTAACGCACATTGGATTTCTTTGCTTAGTTTTTATTATATTCATTGAACTAAATATTCGCTCTACTTCTGCATTACTTATAGGCAAAACAAGAAAACTAAAAACTAGGTTGGAAAGGTTTTCTCCTAGGGCATTCCGAAATTGATAAACTTCGGCCCAAAATTTTACAGTTGAGTCTAAATTACTCCAGGTATGTAACGTTAACCGTTGCCATTGCATCTCTATGGATGTTATTTCGTCGGCATTATATTTGTGTTTTTGCTGCTGTAGTTGAACAAATACTTTTGGTTTAATTACTCTTAATGCATTTCCAACCGAAAAAAGTAAATTTTTTTAGTGTGGCAATATTTGTAGGGAGGCGTTGGCGTAATTCCTTTATTAAAGTGATAATAAAATAGCGACCATTTTCTCGAATTATTTTCTCGGCTTCGTGGCCAAAGGCGTTTGTGCTTACTTTTGTTTTTAAATACTCTTCAAAACTGTGATAAAACTGAAGAAATGGAGCAAGGTATGGTTCCAACGGGGAGCATATAGGATCAAATGTGTCCGCGCTAATAACCACTAGGGAGCATAGATGCGAAAGTAAAACATTAAGTTCATTAAAAATCTTCATTGGGTCTGCATTATTGCTTTCGAACAACTTGTTTACTTTTTGCACCTGAAAATTAGGCAAATAGTAAAATCGGCTAAAAACGGTTAACTTTTTTTTTACAAACCGGCTAACAAATCGGCTGCCGGCTAGATCGAATTTTCTCCGGCTAGTTGCTATCAAAACCGGCTAAATCTAGCCGGAAAACGGCTAAAATGGCAACGCTGGTTACAAACAGTCGTTATGTGAAAAAAGTTATAATACCCTTGCGTACAAGTGCGCTCGGGTATAAAAATACTTGACATCCGCATTCGCATTCGCATCCGCGGATGTTAGCGTTTGAACATCCGCATCCGCATTCGCATCCGCGGATGTCTAAAGTTCCTTATTCGCAACATCACTGGTCTGGACATACAACATTGCAAGTTGATAGAAGCGTTGTAATAATAATAATAAAATAAAATAGCCAAGTGAGAAAAGGTGCCGTGAAGGTCAGATTAAATCGACCTGTTGCACCATTGAGTGTATCGAACTCTCCTGTGTTGCGATTGGCCCAATGGATGTGATTTCCCAATATTATTATGCGTTCAAGCTTTTAAGGTATTTCGTCTGAAATAAGTCTACGTATATTGCATTTCTGTAGCACAATGATTCGCACCCATTTTGAAATTGCCACCAACTATACTGTAAAGCTTCTAGGACATTCACTATAGAACCGGGTTATTGTTGCCTCCAGGGAGTGAAGAGGAAAAAATTCTTAAATTTTATTTCGCTTTGTGAATAACCGTGCTATGAAATGCTGCAAAGTTGGAGAATTTCAAGAACTTCTTCGCGGATATAACACTTTCTTTAGGTTATTTAAAGCGGCAAATGACCACCAAACCATAATCTTAGCAGAATGTGCCAACCAAAATCGTAAACGTGAATTGTTGGTGAAAATGTTGGACCAAAAAGTCTTGGTAAAATAAATAAAAATTTTGGGCGTTTATTTGTAAGCGCTGTATGTACGCACATTCAAAATATTTAGCTAATACAAAACCTTATCATTATTTTCTTTCTGATATCTAAAAAAAGTTAATATTTTTTAAAACCTCTTCAGAATTTTTTTTTTTGAGAAATATAAAAAAATACTCACTTCGCTCCACTGTCGCGAAAAAGAAGAGCCCATTTTGTAGCGTTGAATAATTCAGCTGTGAATTCGTGAGCAAATTCTTGATAAGAGAAGTTTGGCTTGTAATTGTTTTTCATAAAGCTTAAATAATTGGGATATCGTAAATCTGAAAATAAAAGTACACAATTGTATGTAGAGCATACTAGTAAAAATGTATGCAACTTTCTAAGAACTCACTTATCCAGTCGGTCCAAAACCATTCGGAACCAAAGCTGGGCACTGAATATACACCCCAATGAATGAAAATGCCAATTTTTGCCTTATCATACCAGCTGGGCAATGGACGCTTATCGAGACTATCCCAATTCGGTTCATAACGTTCTAATGCTGATGCGTTAATAATCATTAAATAAATGAAAAATACACAATGATGCCGGCGGAGCATTGCTTCCGAATTTATAATAAAACTAAGATCTTCGAATTAATGTGATGATATATGTAAGTATTTATGACACACAGCTGCGCGCGAACGAGCAGATAAACAATAAGCGGGTATACAGAAACACAGCGAAGCGAAAACAAAATCTACACTTGTTTATTGGAAGATCAGTTTGCCACTGAGAGTACTTTAAAGCTGATTAAATAATAGTGGGACTGATGAAACGTCGCACAGTGATCTGAGGGTGGCGGAAAGTCTTAATTTCGAAATGTGTGGAAATATTCAGCTAAGTGGTTGACTCGATTCTAAACATGTCTACTAACAGGTTTTGAAAGACTGAAAGACTAATAAACGGAAACACGGAACTTAAGAATAATAAGTTTTATGAGAAAAAAATAATTACACTTTTTTCAACAGACAAATAATATTCGATAGTTACATAATTCTTACCTAATTAAAGGTAATCTATTAACGCGCAAGTAGTCGACTCTCTTTATAGCCTGCCGTTGAACATTTCTGCTGGAAATACCTACTATTATCTTACTCTTTGACTTTAAATTACGAAAGAAGGTCTACGTAGGGGACAGTCTTAACGTAGCATCTCCACACGCAAAAAAATGTTTGCTAAAAATTTTTGTTTGCCAGATATACGTTTTATCAGTGCACTTGCACAATATTCGCATTCGCAAAAGCTCGGCATTGATTATTGCGAATGCGAATGTTAAAATTTATGCGGAAGTTCCGCGAATATTCGCAACAACCCTGATATGTACAACATACATACGTATGGATGTATGTATGTATGTACGTAGCAAACTGCAATATTTAAGTAACTACTGAAGATAATTCACTCAAAATTGATATTTACAATAATTTTGGTACAAAATACCAAATGGCCGAAAATTTTTAAAATCGGACAATAACCACGCCTACATCCCATATAACGGTAATTTAGAGAAATACGAAATACTCGATAAATCAGTAAATATTAAAGCTAATCTAATCGAAATTGATGCTTGCAACAATTCTTTACCAGTAAATGCATTTATGGTAAAATTTTGGAAAATGGGCGTGGCACCGTATGGTTATTGCGCCATCCACACGATAGCATAAGGTTGAAAATTATTGAAATCGGACTAAAATTACGGCCGCTTTTCATATAACAGTAAATTTCAGATATGCTTGAAACTTCAATATTTCGAAACAACAATCCCTTGAAAAGTAACATTATTTGGAATTTTGGAAAATGGCCTAGATACCGCCCACATATGACTATATAAGTTTATCTCATTACGTCTAACTGAACGTTCTATCGAAGACGTTTAAAATATCACCAAGTAGCGGTAGTTTTCGGAAAGGTGAGAAGCGTATAAATATTTAATACTTGCGCCGGGTATTTAATGTTCGACTCCGCCCGAACTTATGGGTCGATTATCGATAGCAATCGAACCTCAGCTGCGTTGCTAGTTGCTAAAACGATATTACAGATAGCAACTGACAACTTTCAACTGACAACTACAGTTGCTAAAAAATGTGTATAGAGGTGACTGGGAATGTCTCTGGAGCGTATTTAGGAGCGAAAATTGAAAAGTGTGTCATATATTTTACTTTTTAATAATTTGAACGATATTAACATTTTGCAATGCAGTTTGCTTTTACAGAATATTATGAAAATAACAGAACAATAACTTGAAATTTTAGTTCCCATGGAGTACGCCCTCTTGGCGAAACAAAAGCGAACACTGATTGCAAATTTGAGCCTTCATCAACTGAAGCACCTCTTAAAACTACCGACACACTAAGTTTTCCAAATTGAAGCCATTGCTGTGGCATTTCCTTCTGCGAAAAATTGAAGAGGAGCGAAAGCTTTTATGGGCGAAGGTATTTAAGTTGAACGAAGTAGTTCATTTGTTTATTAACCAATTATACTACAGCTTTTTCTGGAAGTCCTCAATATGCTTTGAAAATGAACACAAAAGGGTAATAACATAAAAACCTGGAAAGCACTAACTTTTGCTTACAGTGCACGCTGTAGCTCTAGAGGTATAGAATGACGCCTGGTTGAGGCTGCGGTCATGCACTTTTCCTCCTCTTAAAGAAATAATTGTGATGAACTTAGCTTTATTGCTGTCTTTTCTTTAAAACTCTTTATTTTAATAATTTAATTTTACTCGCACAGCTTGTGTACAGCCGCTTGCTGGTTGTCGAACTGTCAAATTTCGGTTATCGATAACTCTACAGCAACTGACGATAGTTGCCATTCGTAATACAAATTTTCTTTCCAGTTGCGTTGCCAGCTGGCAACCGAACCATGGTTGCGTTGCTATCCGTAATCGACCCATTAGACTTTCTTACTGGTTTATATTTGGACGAAGCCACTGTCTGCTTATTGGTTTAAATCGTTATGCTTCACACCTTAATCCAATAATGCAACTATTAACTCTACACTTTGCAATATTGTTATTTTGTTAAATACCATTAACAGAGCGATTATTTGCTCAAGGAAATTATTATTACTATAGTAATCGATGATCAGTAAAACAGCCCTTTTCATATTCCTAGGAAAAGTGCGACATTCAATTTTGCATTACCTAGTATCGAGGAATGAATGTGATTTAATATGAATTTTTTGGGACTTTTTGGATACATTAGAATGCTGATTACATAGTAAACATAAATGGAATCTAGAACTCATAAGAAATACATAACATTAATTATCACGCATGTAATGCATTACTACTTTTCGCACTGGGTACCTATGTACATAACAGGGTTGTTGCGAATATTCGCATTCGCAATCACAACCGCGGAGCTTCCGAATTAATTTTAACATACGCATTCGCATTCGCAATAATCAATGCGGAGCTTTTGCGAATGCGTATGTTGTGCAAGTGCACTGATAAAACGTATATCTGTCAAACAAAATGACAAATTGCAGCCAATATTTGTTGCCTGTGGTCGTTGGCGTATTTGTGTAACAAAACTGGTCAAATATCATATTTATCAACTTTGATAAAAATGTCTTTAAACTTATTATTTCTTAAGCTATATAATCGAGCAGTTATACAAGTTCCCACTTCTACTTGGCCTTTGACGTACGTCAAAGAGAACATAGTCCTTTTAATAATATATTTTTTTGTTTTCTCTCCTTTAAATACCTGCATTTCTTTCTTTATTATGATTCTTTTGGATCAGTCTTAAAAAAACTTCTAGACATAAAAGAAGAAAGTGTGCACTGTAATTTTAAACCAATTTGTCGTGATTTGCTCTTTGTTACATATCGTCACCTGAAATGCAAAAAGACGTAACAAACATCGTCGCTGAAATACAAAAAGCAGGGTGGGCAAAAACTCGGAGTTCGAGCGAGCGAGCGAGCAAACTCCTACTCAATGCCTCGCAGACAACGAGGCGCTTGCATCTCGTACTCGTAGCAGCAATGAGGCGAGGCACGAGAAGTTTGGCTCGCTCGCCAAACGAGCGAGCGCTGCTTGTTTGCTAACACTCCTATTAAACGAGCGAGGCTGTTGTGTGTTGCCTCGCTCGCAGTGCGAGGCGAGTAGCTGTCTACATACTCACTCTGCTACGAAGGACGAGTGAGCGACGAGCGAGCGCTCCGAGTGTACTATACAACACATGCATTTTTGGGCATAAAAATGTGGGAATGTATGTCAATAGATTATGTACGAAAGTAGTTAATAATTGTATGTACATATGCATATATATATATGTATGTAAAGTGTTATATTAGGGCAGCATTTAAAACAACAAATAAAATTGATCACATACATAAGCATAGATTATGGAATGAATTATTTTTTAGAGTTATGTATATTCATACATGTGTACACACATAACATGCATATTTATATATGTTTGTATGTACGTATTTATGTATATATGCATTTATGTATGTATGTACATATGTATGTATTTTGTCTTTACAGAGAAAAGTAAGTAACGAAGATATTATAATCGTTTGTGCCGCAGAAACAAAAAACAAGTAAGCACTTGTTAACACCCCCAAAATAGTTTGCTACTTGTAGCACTTATGCTGTATACCTGAATGAATTATAGTCCTTGGTGAAAAAATTTATTTGTGGCCTGTTGTTCAAGGACATGTATATATGGATATGTAGACATGGGAAAATTTACGTAAACAAAGAATAGAGACCGGTTCGCATACAACTTTGGCGTTGCGTTGGCGTCGAATTCCAAAGCAGCCGTCCACATTTCCAAAATTTGGCAACGCTAAGGCCAACATAAAGCAGAACGATCGCTGCGTCGGTCGCCAGCTGTTGCAAATAAATAAAATTAAATGAAATGTTTTTTACTTTTAATCAAATGAAGGCAAGAAATATAATTTTTCATGGAATTATTGATATGAAATATTAATGTATCTCTCGTTAATATGTTAATTTAGTGGCCAAAGTAGTCTCTGTCAAGCTTCATTGTAGAACGCATACTTTTAACTTGCGTTCTGTCAAACCAACGCCAACTACAAAGTCAACGCGAAAGTTCTGTGTGGACCAGCCTTAATTATCAAATAGTAGTTTGTATTATCCTACATACATACATATGTATAGGGGCTAAACCAGGAATATTCATTTGAAAATGCCGATGTCCTACTCATTTATGAAATGAAAGACAAAATAATGATTTTTATAAATATTATATTCTCATTTATACATACATATGTAACATAGTTACTTAGTCAAATTACTTAGTAATTACTTGTATGTAAGAATACAAAGACAAATTATTCATCAGAAGCATTGCCCCTTACACACTCAGAAAAAGGTTTAGTTATAATAACCAAGATTTGGTTATAGTGACCAAGTGGCATAGTTGGATATGGCGAAATAAATATCTAGTTCACGAAAGTCTGCAATTTACTTGAGCCTTCTAGTTGGGACAAATGTATTGTTGTTAATAATTACAAAACGACTACATTGAGTGGACACTATTGTTAGTTGAATAAAATCATTGTTGAGCAAATATTGTGGCGAATACTGCGGCAACACAAAGCGAACAACGAGAAATAGGCAGAATGTTCGAGGAATGACGTAGAATGTTCCACAAAGAGAAACGTCAAGTTGGATGAACACTGCGAACAGCGAGAGAAAGAGAATGAGCGATAAACTTCAGAATGTTCTAGAGTTGCCATAAGTGCCAGCGCAGGTATATA